TAAACATGTTTGGAGATGGACAGTGATGATGGTTGCAAAACAATGTGAATGTACCGAATGCCGCTGAATTATATGCTTAAATGTGGTTAAAATAGTAAACTTTCATGTTATGTATATTTTACCTCAATTTTAAAAGCTATTGTTCAAGAAATACTTTAAGGAAAGTCTGAAATCAGCTTCTTTTGCCTACTCCCAGACCCCTCAAGTACTTCAGCCACACGTATTCACTGTTAATCTCGGCAGTAGAGACACTGTCTGCTACTTTATTTCTGGTACCTTTTTTGTATGTCTGAATTATTTCACCACTTTAAAAAGCTAAAATTCACACATTTACTTGAAAATAACTTTTTCTGTAACACCTAATATTTATTAAGCAAACTGCAAAATCTATGAAGGACATGGTTTTCCCCCTCCCCTGGAATCTGGAATCTTAAAAAAAAAATGAATCCCAGTTCAGTTTTTCACTCTCACAAGAGCTTATCAGTGACAGAGTATCCCCAGGGCCCAGCTCGGGGCTGGCTCAGCCACAGTAGGCACTTCACAAGTACCCGCTGAAAAACACCTAGAAAAATAATGAGCACAGATCACGGTACGTGCTACACCTGCCATGTAAGAATAAGCATCCAGGATGAGAATATAACCACTATCCTATCCTTCCCAAACACATGATGGTTTCTCCCGCATTTCAAACTGCTGTTCGCAAGTCACTACGAGAAGAGAACACAAAAAAGAGCATGGAAGAAAGGTCAGGAGACCAGACCCTCTGTACTGTTGGTATTTTGTGGTGAAACAGGCATTTCTACTTATTACTTTGGTAAATCAACAAATATAAAGTTTAACATTTAAAAAGACAGAAACCCCACATTCCAATATAGTATTTGGTGACATCAATAGAATCTATAAAACACCATCTGATTTAGCTCTTTCTTGAGATGCTGGAGTTTTTATTTTTAATTTTTTTTTTAATTCTTTTCATTTTATTTATTTGAGAGAGAGGGAGAGAGCAGGTACAAGTGAGGAAAGGGGGGAGAGGGAGGGAGAGAGACAGAAAGAGAGAGAAAGAGAGAGAGAGAGAGAGAGAGAGAGAGAGAGAGAATCTTAAGCAGGCTCTGCTTTCAGTGAGGAGCCCGACGCAGTGCTCAATCCCATGACCCTGGGATCAAGACCTGAGCCAAAATCAAGAGTCAGACACTCAACCGACTGAGCCACCCAGGCACCCTGAGGCTGGGTTTCTTAGAGGCAACTAGAAATACTGGTCAGTAGTTTACCAAGAACCAGACGTGTCTGATCTATCACTTCATCGTACCAAGGTATTATCTATCATCAATTCATCTTCTGGAAGTGAAAACATAATTTTCAAGTGATGTCAGCCTAATTAAATGTGCAAACTGAGCCAATATTGTATCTTCTGAGCAATATAACCAAAAGCCAGTTGTTCTCTTCAAAAGAACCTCTGCAAAAACTCATATTCTTGCCAATAAATTACGTATATTTGCTCTTCTTCCACTTTACAGCTTTTTGAGACGCTTACAGATCAAATGCAAATCTGCTGATGGGTGTACACATGAGAATAATCTATTATATTAATCTGACCTTGCCTAGACACAATATCCCAGGTACACATTGAGAAAAACATCCCAATTACAATACGCATAAGACTATATCCTCAGTACAAACGTCCCTTCATTTTCTACTTGCATACTCTCGGCCAAGTCAAAAAAGGCTCCCTAAATTCACCACTGACAGATTTCATTAGCACATCTCCTAGTAAAGCACTGATAATTAATAGTCCAAGCTGCTAAAGCAACTGCAGTTTATAAGGAATACCTTAGTGGCTCAGATCATTTCATCCAAACTCTTTCTCATTTACCCTGTTTATTTCTTTCATAGCAAAAAAGTGCTATGGGTAATTAACTTGTTTATTTGTCTGCTTATTGTCTAAAATGTCTAAAATGTCAGCTGCCTAGCTGTCTTCCTCATCACAGCAGTCTCCAGGCCTAGAATGACACCTGGTTCATCATGGGCACTCAGTATTTGTTAAATGAATAAACATAAAAACTCAAAGTAATGTGTAATTCGTTCATTTTTAGAATTCAGACTATGGCCATTGGTACCTTGCAATAGACCTAGTTAGTAACATAAAAACAAACCAAAAAAATTAAGACAAGCTGGCGATCAGTAAAAAGCTATTGTTCAGGCTACAGTTGGCTTGGAGGAGGGGGCTGGTACTAGAGACGGCTAAAAGGTGGACGTAGCTATTCATCCCCCCAACAATATTCAAACATATCCGTGTTCAAACGCGGAAAAGCCAGATTACGTTGGCTTCTGCAATGAGCCACGTTATACTTTCCCAAACTATTTCCAACGTGGTCACCTTTACATTGTGCTAAAAACGGCTGCCAGAAAAATATGAACCTCATTGGGAATTCAATTAAAATCAGAGTCTGGCATCATATCCATGTGAAATTGTGTGTGTGAGGTTTTCGAGAATCTCAAACCTAATTCGCCACATTAGCAGGGAATATTTGCACAAAGAACTCCTTTCTCCCTATATTTATCATTTTCATTGTGAAGTAAGGAGCGACCCTCAAAACAGCTCAAAAGCCTATGTGTAAGCTCCCTGTTCTCTGAATATTCATTCCAATGAATTCCTTGGGGGATTGACCCTGCAAATTCTAGGGGAAGAGCTTTTTACTCACTTGCTGCCATGTCAGTTTCAGCCTTTCATACTGCTCCTTGCCATCTTCTGAGCAATCGGAACAAGTGAATCTAAAAAAATTATCACCCTTAAGGTAACTGAGCTGTTCCCTCAGCTGACCTAGGAGAAAAACAAAAAAGCACATCATAGGTTTGTCTAGAGCAGCATTTATCAGTGTATCAACCAGATTTTCCACGCTTCCCATGTGTTCTTCCTCCTTTTCAGCTAACCCACGATAGCAGGACAGGAATAAGGAAAACAGAAGAAAAGCACAGAAGAAAAGCGTATGCCTATTAAGTGTATGCTTCCTAGCTTTTAGGAGAAAGATGCTGGAAAATCACGTTTTCATTGCTCTCACTGGATTTTCCAACTGTTAACATTCCTGACTCCTATGGGTCTCCACACACTCTTTCAAGAATTATCTGAGTTCCCACTGCATGCCACGCACTGGCCTAGGAACCGGAACACAGCGCCCAAGGTAGTCTGCTCTCGGCATTTTATAAGTTCTGAGGGTGACATACAAGGAAATAGGTAATCCTAATAGCACAACGGTTCTGCATCCTCACTGTACATCGGAATCACCCATGGAGTGGTTTTGTTTTTTTAGAAGATGCCTGGGCCTACTCACACAGAACGAATCAATCTCTAAAAGGGGGGGTCTGGGTCTCTCCATTTTCTAATGTTCCCCAGGTGATGCCAACGCTCTGGGAGACAGGACAACCACTGGAATGGAACGTGGTGTGTGCCACAGGGCAATGCGAGGGTACATAAAAGGGAGGCCCAACCCATACAAGGAAGATGGGAGAGCTAGAAAAAGTGGCATTGACAGGGGACCTGAAGGGTGACTAGAATTGGCCAGGGGAAGAGGAGTGCCTATGTGAATGGTGGGAGCCCACGGAGGCTACAGAGACACATATTCCAGAGAGGAAATTAAAATGCGCAGAGACCTTGGTATAAGAATTTTTTTGTGGAGCATTAAAAGCTCACCCTAACTGCAAAGTTCTGGTAGTGTGGGGACAGGACATTGAGGAGAGACGCTGAGGAAGTTAGCAGGGACCCTATCGTGATGGACAGTTTAAAATGTATCCTTAGAGGACAAGGTGGAACGCCAGAGATTTCTCAGGCAGGGCCCTAAATCACTAAGCAGAAAGAGCTCAGAAGCAAACTCTAGCTAATGCATAGAAAGTTCTAGATTGTTTCCTATGAAACTGTTACTATTAATTTGTTAATAGTAACTGTTAATCTGAATAGTTAAATCCATCTTAAAAACACTTCCACATACCAGAAACTGACCCGTTTCAGCTGAAATTTCTCTGACCTAGTTACAAAGTATTACACAAAGAATTCCTCTGGTACCGATGTCTTTCCTAGTCTCTGCCGAATGGGAAAATCCCATTTTGGTAAGACTCGTGATGGCTGCCAAAGCATGCTCCTTGAGAGCCAGGACACTGGCAGATGAAAAGATCAGCTGAAAGAGTGGGGTATCGGGGCAGCATGTGTATATATATCTGTCGCCAGCAGATCTAGGAGGCTAGCAAGCAGAAAACAAGAATGGTCCCAGAAAAAAAGCATAAAATATTTTTAATCTGCTAATTCTGACTTACTTCAGCATACAACAGCAGTTTTCCACGGAAGTTAAACATTAATAGAGTAACTTGAACTTTCATTCTATACTGGGCCTAGTATTGGGCCCTAAATCCACAACGTGATCTTGTTAAATAATGTGGCTAATTCTTTAAATAACACAGGATTTCCAACTTTCTTTTATTGGGTTGCCGTCCAAAATGTTAACTTAACAATGTGAGAGGTTGACAGTAATTTTTATTAGCACAAATGTGTCTACGTTTTATATAAATCTGTCATTAACCAACTAAACTAATCATAAATATAATAATTATCTTTTTATTTAGGTCCATTGTACATTCATGTTTCGTTCACAGGTGAGAAAAACAAACCTTCACATTGGAACTGACAAATCAAAGGAATTGAGAAGCTCCTTACTGGCCGGTATCCATTTTTGGCACTTGTCACAGAAGTAGGACAGCTGCTCCTCCATCCAGGACACATCTCCTTCGTCACTGTTGAGGGAATCCCCACTCTGATCATGAGATAAGTCCACTGATGCCTGGTCCTCCGATTCAACGATCAGGAGAGTCTCCCCCTCCACCTCTCCCTCCTCCAGCCCTTCTGAGGTAGATGTTCTCGTGGCTTCATCATCATGCCGGCTTATCAAACTACTCAGGTGGATGTTACTATCCATCCCTTCCTCTCCCAGGCTCTCAAGTGCTTTTCACGAACAATCCTAAGCTCTGGACACCAGGCTTCAAGGGGCTTCTACCAGGATCACACAGACAGACAGAAACTCTTCACGGAGTGTCTGCCCACTTCTTTACTCAGATAGAAGGGACTTTTAAGCAATCATTTAGAATATGTGATCCACTGTCCTTGTCTTTGGTCAAGTTTGAAAGGACAGTGACCAAAAAAAGGGTGAACACCTCACAAAGCTATTCTCCATCCACACTCACACACCCACACTCAACACTGTCCCATCAATATTTGGCATCCATTTCAAGTCATGTTTTTTGAGATCCTTTTGCCAGTAACATCTTCTCTCTTTCTGCTTCAAGTTGCTCAGTCAAAATAATCTGTTCTCCCAAGAGACGAATGTTTTCTTTTTTCCGATTCTGCCTCTCAATGTCTCTGATCACTCCATCGTGAAGCCTCTAAAAACGCAAGAAACAGATTTCAGTAACACCCAAACAGGTGGCTCCCTTCCTTGTGCCATTCAATCTGAGTAACAGTACTACCAAAATACACTGAAAACTTTGAGACTCCAAATACCTAATTACTATTTCAACTTTCTGCATAAATGTAAAATGTAACAAGCTATCAGATTAATTTGGTTGTGTGCTCCACCAGTGTTATTACTTAACATGACTTAACCATATTTTAAGAAATTCCTGAACATTCAGTGTAGAAGCTTCATGGGAAATTAAAAAAAGAAAAGAAAAAAAAAAAAACTGTTCCTGAGGTGAATTTTAAAAGTTTAATTGATATACAAGGCTTTAAAAGATCTGGTGAGAATTACTACAGTAATTTTACAAACTACTTTCCTATTAGCAAGGATCCTAGCTGAATAATAAATATCAAAGAAAAAAAAGATTCCTGAAATTTAAACAAACCATCAGGATGCAAGAAAATAAAGATCTTAGCTTCTTCTAGTGCATAAGAAGAAGTAAAAATTGTACAGAATTACTAATCAATTACATGACTGAGAGAGACGGGAAAAATACAATGCTACTACCGGAGGAAAAAAGAAAGGTGGTAGTTACTTTGAGAAGCACTAAAGACAGGTCGAAAATTCCAGAACATGGACTTGGCACCTAAGATGAGACTTTTTAAAGCCTAAGTCCAGTCGTTACTAATAACTGCCATTTTCTAGTTTTTAGGTCCCCAAATACTAATTTTTTTTTAACGGCAACCTTGTGAGGTAGAATTAATGGGGGTGGGGCCCAGGGCCTGGGGTTTTTTTGTTTGTTGGTAATCATTAGGTCTATTTTATTTTACTACTATCATCATCATTATTTTTAAGCGGGCACTATGCCCAGCACAGAGCCCAACAATGCACTTAAACTCACAACCCTGAGATCAAGAGTCAGATGCTCAACCGACTGAGCTACTGAGGTGTCCCTATTATGCCTATTTAAAGAAACTCGCCAAGTACCTACTTGCCAGATCTCCTCCAGACCTAGAGTTTCACTCACTATTATGGGGGGAACTGGGAAGTTTAAGAGTCCTAGAACAGATAACACAATTGAAAACCATCTTTTTTGGACCTTGCTCCTTAGCCAGATCTCCAGAGACATTTGGCTCCTCCCTCCCCAGTCCTTTGGGTCCTGTACTTCCTGTACCATGACACGCCCATGCACACACCCCACCCCACCCCCAAAGCCCACACCATCCACTGGAATCATTCTTTCCATACCTGCCTCTGGGATCTTCCATACCTGATCTTCCTTCCTCAGACTTCAGCATATGGCTTAGGAACTTGCTTTCCTGCCATCATTGTAGTGCTACCTTCCTTCAAGTTGCAGTGTATGCCAACTGCCTGCAACTTGCACTTAGCTACCTTACTCATCACCTCTCTTACTAACCACCAAGACCTCTTCACCATTACTCATGTAGTACAACTCGTTTTGTTGGGTTCCTGTGAGGATTAATGTCAGTGGCTGACATGTGGTAAACAGTCAAGAAATGCTAGAAAACAACAGTCATTATTTTATTTCTTGCTTCCTTGAACCTTCCAACATACCCAATGTGTCAATCATTTGTCTTCTTCCTAGTGTAAAAAAAAAGTCCACTGAATGACTGGATGCAAAATAAACACAGGTTATTCCGGTCAATCTTTTCTTCATCTAATTTCCAAATACCTAAATCTTTGTTTTTCTACCCTCTAGTACAGAGATACTCAACCCCAGCTGCATGTTAGAATCCCCTGGGTGGCTTTTAACACATACGTGATCAAGATTCCCCATATCCAAGAGATTCTGATTTAAGAGGTCTGGAGTAGGTGACATTGTAAAAACGAGAGATGCTGAGTTAGTTCAGAACCAAGCTCTCATCCATCCCTACCCCATAGTCTGAAAATCTCTGCCTCCACTGACCTCAGAACTACATCTGACCATCCTCTACTCCACCTCAAATTTCTTTTGATCACCCTCTTTTCCTTTCACTTCTTAGAAGAGAAACTTGCCTGCCTCTATTCCAAAAGCTCCGCCCTCAGAACCCATACTTTGTTCCCCAATCTCTAACCTCTTCCATGTCCTCATTACTCATCCCAATAGCCCCTCCTCCAAATTCTTATACCATCACACCTTCCCGATTTCCAGACTGTGAACAAGGACAAGACCTCTTCTGCTTCATCTCTGTGTACCAAGCACACTGCACAGCCCAATACGACAAAAGGCCATTTACTATTGATTCATCCAGTTCATTACTTCCACCCTTGGCAAAACTAAGCCCAACCCTAACGCACGCACGGACCTAGTTGCCTGTTCTCAACTTTCAGCACCGGTGTGAAGCAGTTACAAACTCAGGAACGCCCGTCCTTCCTATCTTTTGTTTCCCAAAGCGCCTAGTGTGGTGCCTGGCGCACACAGACCAATCACTAAACATTTGCCAACTAGAGTAAAAACAATATGAACTGACACACACGGAACGGGCGGTCGGTCAACCGATCAGTAAGTTACAGATATTTCTAGAAATACAGGTACAGAAAAAAGAAAAATTGGAGGCTGGTATCTCTAATTCCCAGAATCTTGTTTCCACAGCATACTGTTTCTTAAAAGAAACAAACAAACAAACAAAAAGCATCCACTAAATTACCTTGGCTAAAGGCAGAGAAAGTGGATTCGGGGCAGCCTCCTTAATCCTAGGATAAAATCTCATTAACACTGGAAATGAGATACATTAGGGTTGAGCCTCAACCTTGGGCCTGGGGTTGGGGAGAGGCCGACAACTTGCTGAGTGCACCCCCACGAAAACCCTTTCCCGCCTCTACTTTGCAGCGGCCCAAGCGACACGCTGAAAAGTCCGTGTCACTGTAGGCTGGAGGTGACCTGGGAACCGGGCCGCCCACCACCCTGCAGGCCTGCCTTAGCTGGAGCCAGGAGGCTGCGGCGCGGAGGGCAGGGGCTCCCCCGCGCCGGCAGGACGGGGTCGCCGGGGCCTCTCGGTGCACGCGGCCGCGGGGGCTGCGGCGCCCGGGCCGGGCGGACGGCGTGGGAGCCGCAGTCGCGTGACCGGGGTGATCGAGGTATGGGTGGGACGCAGGATCGCGCCGCCGCGGAGCCGACGAAAGAGGGAGAGACGAGGAGCAACGGAGAACCACGCGGAGAGAGGCAACTGGGCCTTAGGTCGCCCTCGCGGGCCCGGAAGAGGAGGTCACGTGACACCGACCTGCCGGTCCTGCCGCTGCTTCAGATGCACGCCGGCCACGGTGGCCGCCGTCAGCACCACCGACAGGCCCAGCACCACCTTCGAGCTCCTCGACATCCCCGCGCCGGCCGCCGCGGCCTCCGCCTACCCGCCCCGGGCCCCAGGGCCGCAACCGAACGCGACTCGGAGGCTGAGGGTCAGGCTCGACCGCTCGAGCGCAGAGCCCCTGCAGCCGCTGCACCGCCCGCCGCGCCAGGCACTAGCAATCGAGAGCCGAGCGCGGAGCGGCGGTTGCCTCTTCTTCCCGACCCCGCACACAAACATAATCTGTCCCCTCTGAGCGTTCTGCTGACCCGGGTCCTTTGCTCAATACCAGCCTTACTAATCGCAGCCTCTTTGGCCCTTTGCGCGGTAGATGCCACCAGAAGATGGAGTTTTTGCTTGTAGATCCATAATTAAATGTTGTAGACACGGTCACCTGTTTTCATCTAAATACTGTGGGCTGGCTGGTCAGGCTCTGATTTTTCTTAAAACCGAAAAGCCTTCTGGCTAAAGGGCATGCTAACTGGGTAGCGATGCCTCTTCGTTGCCTCTTGGTAAGAAAAGCGCTGGTCAACTTGCTTCCCGTGTAATTACTAAGAGATCGCCTTTATACCTTTGGAACCTCAGTTCCTGCACCAATAAGACAGGATTCCTGATTCCCACATTACTAGGGAAATGAATGAATGAATGAATGAATGAATGAATGAATGAATGTAAGGCATTATGCAAGGCATCATTTTCACTTTTCCTTGTGGTAGAAAGAAATTTGGCTTTCCGGAAAGTGTAAAGTATCTAATAGAATAGGCAATGGAAAGGTATTCCCATTAAGTCATGCTTTCCCACTGGAATTCACAGAGAGCAAGCTTCTTCCTGTGGAAACAACTATGGCCAGTACTGATTAGGACCAGGTCTTGGTTAGCACCACCCAAGGGCTTCTCCAATATTCATTTCTGTAGTGCTTTGCTATTCCAGTTTGTTACTTAGTGTAAATGGCATGAGATGATTATTGCTTGTAAGAAATGTAATAAAAAAAAATTGAATACTTTTTTCAAACCACATTTTGTCCATGGCATTTTTCTCAGCCAGAGGAGGATATATCACTGAATTGGGAAACTGAGTTCCTCCCCTAATAGACTGTGGAGTTAGAAGCACTTCAATTCAAGGTGTATTTGTATTCTTTTGTAATAGAAAAGAAAAAACAGTATTAGACTGCTTTTTTACTTCATGACCTGAGCTGAAGTCGCACGCTTAATCGACTGAGCCACCCAGGTGATTCGGAAAAGAACAAACAATATTAGACTGCTTTTTTACTTGTGGTGGACTCCAGATATTTTTCTCTGTAAGTCAATGAGCCTTCAGCAAAGCTACATGTCCTTAGAATTTGTCAGAGTTAGATGGCCTTTCACTGTTGTAACCAATTTTCAACTTGTCTTCTTGAAATATACTTTTGTTCTCCTTTCAAAACATCCTTTATGTGTTAACGGTGTCAAATTTAAAAGTGGATTATCTGTTTAAATATTTATGACCCCCAGCAGGGTGTTTTGTGTGATTATTGTCACATAAATGACTGGGATAGGAGGGAATGAGTATAGACTCCTCTAGCCAATAATCACGATACAAAAGACAAGGGATGCCTATGTGGCTCAGTCTGTTGAGCGAGCATTCAACTCTTGATTTCGGCTCAGGTCATGATCTCACGTGAGATGGAGCCCTCCATCGGGCTCTGCGCTGACAGGGTGGAACCTGCTTGGGATTCTCTCTCTCCCTCTTTCTCCCCTCCCCCACTTTCTCAAAAATAAATAAATAAACATTACTTAAAAAAAGACAGGGAGACAGTTGACAAGTAGCAATTGCTATGGTTCGCATGTTTGTGTCCCCCCTAACACTCTTATGTTGAAATCCTAACCCCCTGGTGGGGTGGTATAGGAGATGGGGCCTTTGGGAGGTAGTTAGGTTTAGATAGGCTCATTAGGGTCAAGCCCCCAGGCTGGATTAGTGTCCTCTTAAGAACAAGAGACTACAGCTCGCTCTCCACCATGTCAGGACACAGCAAGAAGACCGCTATCTGCAAACCAGGAAGAGGGCCCTCACTAGAACCCAACCAGGCTGGTACCCTAATCTCAGACTTCCCAGCCTCCAGAACTGACAGACACATATCCGCCATTTAAGCCATGCAGTCTATGATATTTTTGTTCTAGCAGCCCAAGGTAAGACAGCAAGGAACTGTTCCCCAAAGTGAAATATGAGTGTGCATTTACTGCTGCAGAGTCAGTACCACCTAATACAGAAGATTGAAGACCCACTTCTCTGGGTCAGAAAGTTCCAGCAACTTTCCACCAGGAACTAGGTGCCAATTGGTTTTGAATTCCTCACTCCCTTTTTCTCAATGGTAAATCATTACTTATGCCAGTTTAATGAAGAGTCCTGCTTAACCACTGGAGACTCTGAGTAAGAGGGGCTCCTTTAAATTTTTTTTTTTCAACGTTTATTTATTTTTGGGACAGAGAGAGACAGAGCATGAATGGGGGAGGGGCAGAGAGAGAGGGAGACACAGAATCGTGGAAACAGGCTCCAGGCTCTGAGCCATCGGCCCAGAGCCCCACGCGGGGCTCGAACTCACGGACTGCGAGATCGTGACCTGGCTGAAGTCGGACGCTTAACCAACTGCGCCACCCAGGCGCCCCGAGGGGCTCCTTTAATAATCACAGAGGTAAGTCGAGGCAGAGCTCTTACTACAAGGTGGAAGGCTTAAAATTAATATTGGCAAACACTTAGCACATTAATGTGCTTCCCTTTTCTCCACATCCTTGCCAACACTTGTTACTTCTTGTCTTTTTGATGACAGACATTCTAACAGGTGTGAGGTGGTACCTCTTTGTGGTTGTAATTTGTGTTTTCACAAATTTACTTCACTGATGATCAGTGGCGTTGAGCACCTTTTCGTATACCCGTTGACCATTTCAGTTACCAGACAAATGAGTTCCGGGGGTGTAAAGTACAGTGTGGTGACGCTAGTTAATAATACTGTGTTGTACACTTGAAATTCACTAAGGGAGTAGATCTTCAGTGTTCTCACCACACACCAAAAAGGTAACTATGTGAAGTGATGGATGTGTTAATTAGCTAGATTGTAGTAATGATCTCACAGTGTATAGGTATATCAAATCATCACATTGTACACCTTAAATAGAAACTATTATTTTATTTTATTTTTTTTAATTTTTTTAACGTTTATTTATTTTTGAGACAGAGAGAGACAGAGCATGAGCAGGGGAGGGGCAGAGAGAGAGGGAGACACAGAATCTGAAACAGGCTCCAGGCTCTGAGCTGTCGGCACAGAGCCCGATGCGGGGCTTGAACTCACAGACCGCGAGATCATGACCTGAGCCGAAGTCGGACGCTTAACCGACGGAGCCACCCAGGCGCCCCTAGAAACTATTATTATTGTTATTGTTATTATGAGAGAGAAAGAACACGTGCACGCTTGAGGGAGACAGAGGCAGAGGGAGAGAGTCTTTTTTTTTTTAATTTTTTTTTTCAACGTTTTTATTTATTTGTGGGACAGAGAGAGACAGAGCATGAACGGGGGAGGGGCAGAGAGAGAGGGAGACACAGAATCGGAAACAGGCTCCAGGCTCCGAGCCATCAGCCCAGAGCCTGACGCGGGGCTCGAACCCACGGACCGCGAGATCGTGACCTGGATGAAGTCGGACGCTTAACCGACTGCGCCACCCAGGCGCCCCGAGGGAGAGGGTCTTAAGCAGGTTCCACACCCAGCAAGGAGCCTTGGGGCTTGACCTCACAACTGTGAGGTCATGAGCTGAGCCCAAATCGAGAGTCCGACGCTTAACCAACTGAGCCACCCAGGCCCCCTTAGAAACAATTTTTATTAGTAAATTATGCCTCCATAAAGTTAGGAAAAAAAGAAATTATAGGACAAAATTTCAAAGCACCAAGAAGAAAAAATAAATTATACACACACATATACACATGCTCAAGGAAAAGAAAAGAAGTAGTGATACATACTACAACGTGGACGAAACCTGAAACCTTACAAACATTATGCTAAGTAAAGAAGCTAGTCACAAAAGACCAGGTATTGTATGATTCCATTTATACAAAGTGTCCAGAATAGGCCAATCCATAGAGGCAGAAAGTAGATTACTGTTTGCCAAGGGCTCCGGGGTTTGGGAGATGGGGAGTGACTGCTAATGAGTTTCTTTTGGGGGATAATGAAAATGTTCTAGAATTAGATCATGGTGACGGGTGTACAATTCTGACTCTACTAAAACCCACTGAAGTGGGCTCTTTAAAAGGGTAAATTTTATGGTATATTAATTATTTCAATAAAGCTGTAAAAGAAAGTGGGGGGAAAAAGCTATTTATATCTATCAACCCATTTCATCTTCACAATGACCCAACAAAATAGGTGCTGTCCGTGTCCCCATTTTACAGGTGAGGAAAGTGAGGCACAGTGTTAGATAACTTACCCACAGCCAGAAAGTTACAGAGCAACCTAATTGGTTTTTAGTTTTCTATTCAAAGACATAAAAGATTAAATTTGCCTGGTTTAAAGTTTAAAACAGAGAACGGATATCTTCTTATAGACACAAGGAGAATGTGTGTATCTAGAATCTTCTCATCCCGTATTTAGCTACTTAAAAAATTGGACGAGGGGTGCCTGGGTGGCTCAGTCGGTTAAGTGTCCGACTCTTGATTTCGGCTCAGGTTGTGATCTCACATGAGATGGAGCCCCACGTGGGGCTCTGCGCTGGTAGCTCGGAACCTGCTTGGCTTTTGGCTTTTGGCTTTTGGATTTTCTGTCTCCTCTCTCTCTGCCCCTCCCCTTTCGTGCACACACACTCTCTCTCCTTCAAAATAAACAAATAGACACTTTTTAAAAATGGGAGGAGAGAGGCACCTGGGTGGCTCAGTCGGTTAAGCGGCCAACTTTGGCTCAGATCATGATCTGAGATCTCGAACTCTGGACTGTGAGTTCGAGCCCTGTGTCGGGCTCTGTGCTCACTACTCAGCCTGGAGCCTGCTTCGGATTCTGCGTCTCCCTCTCTCTCTGCACCTCCCTGTTTGCACTCTGTCTCTCTCTTTCTCTCTCTCAAAAATAAATAACCTTTTGAAAAATAAAAATAAGTAAAAATGGGAGGAGAGTAGGCAAGAGA